ATTTAAAACTACTTCTCAAATTTATAAAGAACTAAAAGTGATGTTTTTGTAATTTAAGACTGCATTTTTTGCAAACAATTCTCACATTTATTTAGAATTTGTTTTATGCCCTGAACTGTGGAAATAGCAGCGTGTCTAAGCTTACCTTTTTAGGTTTTTCCTCAAAAGAAAAAAAAAGTTTTTTTGAATAATACAATATGTAATCAGGAAAATCCTTACAAAAATTTAAACATATCATTAAAAGTGTCTTTTGCATTTCTTTGAGCTCTAAGGATTTTTTTTTTTCTTTTCTTTTTTTTCAGGATGCTCAGTGCAAAACAGTGAACAGTTTTGCTCATGATGTTGATATATTATTAATATTACAGCAAAGGAGCATGGGAAATCGTTCCTGGCCTGATTGCTTTTGATCAATAACTCAAAGAGCAGAGACCTCATTAATCTAAAACTTCCTCTAACAATAGACCCACTGACCAATGCAAACCACTCTTTAGTCAAACTCAATACTCAGACAGATCAGATCAAGGAAATGGAAAGACTTTTTTTCTCAATCAAAACTGTTGTACTTTAGTTTCTGAAAATTGTTTAATCACTCTTGCAAGCATGGTTTATTTTGTTGTCCAGATCTTAGWTAGTACTTTCTGGAAGTCTGATAATCCACACTTGTATTTATTAATCTGTCGGRTCAGGATGACAGCCAGGATGCAGTCAAGTTAACTCACTTATTGTCTTTTAATAACAAACATACTAAAGCTGTTTTATATGAGACATGAACAATTAAAATATTTTGAACAACAAAAGACTGACAAATTCTGGAATAATAACATTGGAAAACATAACTCGGCAAAGGTTTTATCTGTTTATTAATTAATGTTTTATTATTGTTTTGTTTCTTGTAAATTATTATAAAGGACTTTGAGCACAATATTTTTGGTTTATTGGACAGTATATGATAGTACAAATGTGCATTTTTTATTACATTTATCTGTTTTACCATCTGAAAATTAAATTCTCGAAGTGAACTATTTTAAAGACTTAATCATCTGCTGAAGCCCTGAAGAAAAATCCAATGTTGTTTTAATTTGCATTGTAATCACGAGCACTATTAAGCAAAGTTGCAGCTTTTCTGAACGTTCATGTTACCCAGGAGTGTTTAAGGATGTCCCAGTGGATGCTTTATATTATCTTCCCATAGACAGGCTTATCCATTACCTGCCTTCTCACGGCACAAGTGTAATGCTCCTATTTAGGGCAACTGTGCGTTCAGAGGCATCATTCAGGGCGATGAGCTATGGCCAGAGARTGACAAGGCAGAAAAATGTCCCCACTTTTCAGGCTGTACAAATGACGTTTGGCCACGATAATTCACAACTGGACACTTCATTTCAAGTTGGGAGCTAGCTGGCCAGTCACAAGCTATTATACCATCTTCTTTATTTGTGGTCCGTGGTTTTGGTAGCGGGACCATCAAATAAATTCTGCTAAAATGCCACTTCAGTCAAAAAATATTGGCCAATTCTTTCTGAGCCGTGACCGGGTCCGTATGGCAACCTGTTTCTGATGGTATAAAACCTTTAAGAGGCAGGTGGTCGAGCACCCAGCATTCATCACACTCAGAAAAAAAAATGAATTAAAATAAAAACACAGAGAGTTAGTGTTGGATATACATATGTAAGTGAATCCTGCTGATTGCTYGCAGCCATGCTAAAAGCTCCACAGTCAGATGAATTGATTACCAATATATCACAGGGGAATTGCCTGCTTAGAGGAATAATAACTCATTGATAAAGATGAAATGGCTATGAATAGATTTCAAGGATGACAATCTTTGAGGAGTAATAGTATAATTTGTCACTTGTGACAGTCTATTTGATTGTTCCTGATATTTCATCCTGTTGGGAATATTGGACAGAATCATGTCGGTTTGTCAGAGCCAGACTGAGGGGTGTGTGTGTGTGTATGTGTGTGTTTGTGTGTGTGGGTGATTTTTTTTTTAATTTTTTGAGTTGTGTTTCAGATGTAAGACAGTCAGGGGAGCATGCTTAGACTTCCTGAGGTGACAGCAGCTTTATTGCGCTTTGCGTCATAAAGTCTCATCATATCTGCTCGCCTCCACTGTGAAATAGGCGCTTAGTGCACCTGTGAGTGTGTGGGGTGGCGGTGGGAGAGGTGGGTTTAGAGAGACAAAGAGGATGCGTAGTAAACATGTGTATAAAGCAAAGCGAGATTAAGGTGGAAAAAGTCAGCATGAAAAAAATGAGCTGATGCTCAAGGGCAGAATAATATTGAAGAATTAAAGGTTAGTTGTAACATTAGACTTTATTTAATAAACATATACTTTAACTGTAAAATAAAGACTGTAAAAATACTGTAGGATGTTTAGTTTTCATCATTTTTAAACTAAAAGTTTAAAAATATATTACACGGATGGGGCAACTTTATTTACACACAAAGCATTCTGGGTAAATGATGACATGGATAGGTCCTCGGCGCGAGGCTGCTAGCGAGCTATATCCACCCTGAAGGTTAATCTTGGACAATATCTGATGATCAACTCTTTTAAATGAAACCAGAGAGCGTTGACAGAGAGGAGAAGGTAGAAACGACTCAGCCTGTAACTGAAAATATAGATGGAGGAACAGAGCTGCTTCATGGAAGAAGAACCTCAGCTTAGCCTGTTAGCCTTTGCACTAGCGCCGAGGCTATATTGCCTTATATGTATTAGCTCAGCGCTAGCTCAACAAACAAGCTAAACTGAGGTCCTCCATCTCAGTTGCAGGCGGAGTCATTTTTGCGTTCCCCTCTCTGTCATGTGGACGGAGGACCTCAGTGACGAGAGGAGAATGTGTAGCGCTGAGCTAATACATATGGTGATAGCGTCGGCGCTAGCGCAAAGGCTTACAGGCTAAGCTGAGGTTCTTCTTCCATGAAGCAGCTCTGTTGTCCTCCATCCACATTTTCAGTTACAGACTGAATCGTTTCTACCTTCTCCTCTCTGTCAATGCTATCTAGTTTCATTTAAAATACTCGATCATCAGATATTGTCCAAGATTAACCTTCAGGGTGGATATAGCTCKCTAGCAKCCTCGCACCAAGGACCTATCCACATCATCATTTACCCAGAATGCTTTGCGTGTTATTAAAATGGCCCCGTCCATGTAATATATTTTTAAACTTTTAGTTTAAAAATTATAAAAACTGAACATCCTACAGTATTTTTACAGTCTTTATTTACAGTTAAAATATATGTTTATTAAATAAAGTCTAATGTTGCAACTAATCATGGATCCCTTTAAGAGGTTTTTTTCATAATGGCAAAATAAATGAGCCCATTCTGCCATTCTAAAGTAATACAGCTCTTTTTTTGCATCTTCTCTCCTAAAGCCCTGGCAGCAGTGGTCAAACTTAGGTCAATAAAATGTCTGTCTCCCCATTGAGTTGTCGCATTTATCAAATGATGAAAGTTTGCCTTTAAATAAAAGATAGAATTCAGCGAGGAAAGAGTGTAACCTTTCTTTGAGGCATGCAGGAAATTAATCAAGGAAATGGGGTTTTGGTGTACCTATATCACATCTAATCTATCCTTTGTTCACATGTAGCTGCCTCCAAGCCTGACCAATCAAGAGCGRCACGCTGGTTTTTATGAAAAGCCACTTGTTCCTTGCATAATTGGGGAGTCTGACTGCTGAGTTAAATGGGCGGTGGAGGTGGAGGGAGGGCCAGTCTTGTTTGCCCATGTAAAGTGTGATCCAGATAATAGCATTCTCATCAAAGGCGGCAATTACATTCATTACAACKGTGCAAGGCGCGCCTGCAAGGAAATTAAGTGGTGAGAGGAAAGAAAAGCTTAATATATACCTCCTTTATCCTATTCTCTCCCCCCACCACCACCTCTCGGCTCTTTTTATTTTTTTTTTTCAAAATGCTCCACGTGGAGCAGGAGACCTCAAGAAAGAAACAGTCTCAGTCAAAGAAGAATAAATCTCCTCCAAGTCTYCCCTTCACCCTTCTGCTTCCAAGAGGCTCCCGTCTGCTGTTACTATGGCTGCACTTGTCTGGGATTAAAAAGCTTTTCCAGAAGGGTGATCTCCAATGGTTGCTTTTACACAAGCATAACAAATGACACCAAATCCAACAAAACRGCTAAAGACCTTCTTTAAATTAAATTCCAATTTGGTTCAGGAAAGGAGGAGCACATTAATTGTTCGGTGCAGCGTTACACCACAAAAGGGCCTGTAAATCAAGCGATTAGGAGAAGGGATTTTTTCTTTTTATCAGGCTCTTTTAAATGTGAATCAGAGCAAGTGGGTAACACTGGAAACTTCTCACAGACAGGTGTTATCCCCGGGCTTGTTTTTCCAATTCATACCACTTAGATGGGTATTATAGAGCTTTAAAGCCCAGGCTAGACCTTTTAATCCAGGTGTGTCCAACTCATTTACACAAGTGGGCGAAAATTCAAAACTTGGTCCAAGTCAAGGACCAACATCTATCGATAGGCCTACTTGTTGAAAAAGAAAATGCTATATAGCAAATTGTTCTCGTAGAAACACAAATAACCTTTTCAAATTATGTCTTATGTAGCATTTAAAACATGTATAACCTAACAAATAATGAAAAGATTAAATTTAGAAACAACTTTTTCCATTTATTATTTCTTAGAAATACATTTTATCATAAACAAATCAGATATAATAAGAAAACCCTCACTAAAACTCCAATTATTTGACATTAAAATAAGAAAAAAAATACAGAAAAAGATGTGTAAAGGAGATTCTCTTACTTTTTTCACACTAAAATCAAACATTACTGAAAAATTCAAACTTAATTTTCTTGGCTTGGAAGCTGGCCCGTTGTTATGAGAGGAATGCACTAAATACAGTGACAAAAAAAGAAGCCATGGAACTTTTTACATTTAAAGCATTACCTTTGGGACTGGATAAAATGGAAACAAGGCCCAGATTTGGTCCGCAGGCCTTAAGATATGTGTTCGAATGCATCCATCCATTTTTTTAAAACCAGCTTTTCCTTTCAGGGTCACGGGGTTCTGCTTATCTCCTCCAGTCGTTGTGCGAGAGGCGGGGTACATCCTGGACAGGTCACAGGTCCATCAACTAGGGATGAATTTCGAGTTACCAATTAACCTAACATGCACGTTTTTTTTTTTTTTTTTCATTCTTTGGGGAGAAACTGAAGTACCTGAAGAAAACCCATGCATGCCAAGGGAGAACATGTAAACACCACCCAGAAAAGACCTCAGGCTGGGAGGCAATCATTCGATCTTCTCACTGAAATGTGACATTTCTAACTACTGTTCCACCATGCTGCCCACCAAACCTTCAAATAACAAACACTAAAAAAAATGAACAGTTTTTGTTAAAAGATGTTTCATTTATGATTTATTTGAAATACTGCATACATTTTAGGGCTGACAAAAACAGAACCAACATATACACTATAGACAATCCCACTGGCTGCAGTAATAGCACATCCTAGTCTCATTAGCAGAACAGCTGCCCTTTAGCAGAACAACTTAATGTATCTGGAAGTGAACATGTCATGAATGGAAAATGAAGTTCCAGACAGATTCCTACCTTTAGCTCTAAATCTTTCCTTCAGTCCAAAGGCAGCATTGTTTTGGCCACTCTGGATTYTTTCCCCTTTTGATGTAAATAGATGATAAGATTAGTGGTTCTATAATTCAAATGGGAAGAATCAAAAGCATAACTACCGCAACAAATTAGAGGTTTGGGAAGTGTGCGCACTTTTTCTTTTGCTGCCCACAAATCATCATGGCTGTGTTTAAATTATTAAAGAGGCCCAGGCCTCAGCAGAAACCCGAGCATAATTAAAATGCAATAAAATAACATTAGCACGGACAGGCTTGTAAGAGAGGGATGTACTGTTGTGGTGTGATGGCCACAGTTATATACTGATGAGCTTGACTTTGGCCTTGTCGTGTTCCTCCCAGAATGGTGCACACTGAGCAATCCCCGTCTATACACAGTGACAGCTCCAATTTGTGCAATCCAGAGCAATGAATTTGTGCAGCACACTAACCTGCTTGTGATAACTTTGGCCACGTGAAGCACCTATTCCAGATCTGATCTGTGGGCGCCATCTGGTGTCCATTCTTCAAATAAATGATGCTGTACAAGGAAAACACACACATTCAACCTGTCAAAGAAATTTCCAAGAATTTATTTTCTCAGGTGACACACATTATCCACAAGCAAAGCTACCCTAAAGATTTTAATACAGATATAAGTCAACTTTAAATGAGCAACTCGTGTTACAAAGTTAAGACACCATCAGTTTTACATTACTGCTGTTAATATTCCAGCTCCGACAGTAGTAGTTGTTAAGGAGTAAAAGGATACAGTGGTCTCCCTCTAATTGATCATTTGTCATCTTCTCCTCAGTGGTTTTCCTACAAGTTTGACACAAATGGGGCAACATGATCTCCGGTGCGCACATATACTTGTAAATTATTGATTGTGATGAAATTTGAATGACTGCGTCAATAGCTTCTGAAAGTATGGCAGTTGTTGTGCTTCATTTGCCACTTGAGCGTAATTACAAGCCGTACATCTGAAAGTATGTCACATCACAGTGGTGAATGACAGGCCATCAGCTCATTTCATTAGCTGGAGGGCAAAAGAGGGGYGTTTTCACATGTCTGTGAACAATGACACTGGAGAAGTTAGTATTAGGGATAATACACTTATAAGATTCTTACAAACAGAAGAAGATAGTTTATTTAAGTTTATTCTCAAGTATTTTCATTTGCAGAATGAACAGTAAAAAGGACAAAAATATAGATTTATTGAACAACTAATTTCAGGTGTTATTGTTGTTTCTTGTGTATTTATTTCAAAATGTTTTGTTGTGGCTTGTGGCTATTGCATTTAACAGATTTTTGTTTTTTACTGATACAGTTTTACACACAGACCTCAATGCTGCCAAAAACATTTTGGTCTTTACAGAAGAGGTCACACAAGTTAATCCAGAACCTAAAAATATTTTTGGAATCTTTTACTTCATTTATACAACTTTTCCTGTTTCACGGTAGCACTTTTAAGTCACATTGGAGCTACCCACTAATCCCATTCAGTCACAGAGATGGCATGAAAATATAATATAATAT